TCCAGATAAAAAGAGAAGTGGGAAGAAAACAAAACCAAGAGCCCCTCTCCCCCTCCCCGTCCACCCCCCTCACTGCGTCCCTGCAGCCTGGTCCACAGCTGCGAGACGAATTTCACAAGCCCGGGGATTCTGGGAGCCCCCACTTCCACGGGCAGCCAGCGGCCTTGTTTCCAGAGACAGTTTTCCCCACACCCAGGTGCACAGCCAGCCCAGCGACTGGAAGGGAAGGTGATGCGAGGCCCCCGCCAGGCCTCCAGTAGGCCTCTCTGGCTTTCTCAGACTCCCCGGTGCCGTACACACATCCTACCGAAGCACCCTGGCTGCCTCAGGGTTTGCTGGCGTGAATTCCAGTGTCGAGGTGACGGGCCAGGGATGGGCTCTGCCCTGGGTCGTGCATGAGCCCACAACTCTCCCAGGAGCACTGGTTATAGGCGAGAGCCTGCTTCCCTCTCGGTGACGCCCACAGAGCTCCAGAGAACGCAGAGAAGTGCCAGCTAGGACCTGGGAGAATCCGCCCGGCAGCCTGCGCTAATAATTACCTGGACTTACAAAATAATAAAAAATTGGCCCGGCTGTGGTGGCTCAGTGGTTGAGCGTCAACCTATGAACCAAGAGACCACAGTTCGATTCCTGGTCAGGGCACATGCCCGAGCTCGATCCCCAGTGGGGGCGTGCAGGAGGCAGTTGATGGATGATTCTCTCTCATCATTGATGTGTCTGTCTCTCCCTTCCTCTCTAAAATCCATAAAAATATTTTTTAAATTAATAATGATGATACATTGACCTCCAGGTCCTAGGGCAGTGATGGCGAACTTATGACACGCATGTCAGAGGTGACACGCGAACTCATTTTTTTGGTTGATTTTTCTTTGTTAAATGGCATTTAAATATATAAAATAAATATCAAAAATATAAGTCTTTGTTTTACTATGGTTGCAAAGATCAAAAAATTTCTATATGTGACACGGCACCAGAGTTAAGTTAGGGTTTTCAAAATGCTGACACGCCGAGCTCAAAAGGTTTGCCATCCCTGTCCTGGGGGGAAACTGAACAAACGGAATGCTTTCTTTTGGGTCGAAGCCCAGCCGAGCTCACCCGGGCTTGGGCCGCGGCTGGCAGGACGAATGCCAGGAAGTTCACAGGAAACGCACAGGCGGGTGTCTTCAGGGCCATGCTTGGGAGACGCCGCCCTGCAGCCGCTCCGTGACTGATTCTCGGCTGTCCTGCCCATGGCAGTGTTTGCACAGGTCAGCCCTGAAGAAGGATGATGGCCTGTTTGTACTGAGGACATCTCTGCAGGTAGGCATGTTTACTGTCAAACCACTTCAGGTGGCTTTCCAGATTTTAGCAAAATAAAATGATTTGCACTAAAGCCAACCACACACATACACCGTGACCTAGCAACCACCCTCGTTATCTCCTCGACAGACATGTACACACATGTGCACAAAAGGCCCACTCAGCAATGCCCATGGCAGCCTTCTTCCTGACAGCCAAACACTGGCAGCAGCCCCAGTGTCCACCAACCGTAGATGGAAAAATCAGCAGGACTATCGTCCTACAACAAATGCCATGGACAGTCAGGGACTCATGTGCACAGTGTTGAATACAAGAAACCAGACACAAGTGAACACATACTGTATGATTCCGTCTACATAAGGTACAGAATTGGGCAAAATGAGCCTATGGTGCCTCGCTGGTTTGGCTCAGTGGATAGTGTTGGCCTGGAGACCAAAGGGTGCCAGGTTCGATTCCGGTCAAGGGCACATGCCTGGCTTGCGGGCTTGATCCAACGTGCAGAAGGCAGCCAATCAATGATTCCCTCTCATCACTGATGTTTCTATCTCTCTCTTCCTCTCCTTCTTCTCTGAAATCAATAAAAATATATATATTTTAAAAAATGAACCTATGGTACTAGAAGTCAAATAGTTATCCTTGGGGAAGAGAGTGTGGGGCTGGGAGGGGCATCAGAGCGGTTTCCGGGGTGATGATGATCTATTTGTTAACCTGGCTGTTTTTTAAAGGGTGCATTACCTTTTCTTTATTTTTTACTCTTTTTTTTTTTTTCTCTCTCTCTCTCTCTCTCTCTCTCTCTCTCTCTCTCTCACTATTTTTTTTTTAAATTAAAGTCTAGTTGACATACAATAGTACATTAATCTTGGGTGTACAAGGTTATGTTATGTTATCTTTTCTCTCTCTCTCTCTCTTTTTTTTTTGTTAAGCCTCACCAGAAGATATTTC